AACGAAAAAACATTCTTGAAGATTTCATTTTAGCTTTAATTGAAAGTTTAATCATTAAATTTATTATTTCCATTAATTAAATAATTCTGGTGTATTTCAGATAGAAACTATATACATTTGATTATCAAATTTAATTTCAAATTCTTAAATTTTCTTAAAATCGGAATTTTTTTTAATTTTAAGAAATTTGTAAACAAACACAAATTTATCGATTTTGAAATTATTTAAAAATAAATCTGACACGTTATTTTAGTAAAATTAAAAAATTTAAAGTTAAAGTAATCTGATTTGAAAGAAATCTTACTTATAGCATAAAAAACAATATACAACCAATTATTAACGATCCGTCCTGTTCATCTGATCCAACTATTGATGGATTGTTGAATGACGAATCGACGACAGCTACTACGGATGACCATAAATGACATAATTTTTAAAAATCTGAGTTAACGGTTTTTTTGGTGGGTTTTTAGCTACCTAGTAATTGTTAGAAATGAACATATTTTCCGCAATTTTTATTGACTTTTATTTACCTTTCGAAGATGTAAAAATAAAAAAAAATAAAATAAAATACCATGATAGAAGTAATTTAATAATTTATGAAATGGTAATTTAATTATTATTTAATAAATCAAAATTAAATGTGACTTTCCAATCCAATGTATATAGTTTCTGTCTGAAATACACCAGAATTTTTATAAATTTTATAATAAATTTAATCATTAAGCTTTTAATTAAATATTTGTTCCTTTTTAAAGTTTTTAAAAAAATTATTCTATTTGAGTATGACCCGCACTAATGGAAATACAATACATAAAATAAAAATATTTAGTGAAATAGTAAATGAAAAAAAGAGAAATTACTTTAAAATTTCGAGTTTAAATATTACACTTTTAAAGCTGAACGGAAAATACAACCTGTTAGCAAGCAACTAAGAAACGAAATATTATGAAAAGGCCACGTAAAGGGATAAAACTCTTAGATCACGTGACCTTGTTATAATAATGGCAATTTCAGTATATCATACATGGAAATAAGGAATGTATTAAGTAAAAAAATACAACGTAGAAAATTATTTTTTTAAAAATTAGCGCAACTAAGTTTATGAAACTTAGCAATTTTGGACTCGTAATTTTTTTTTTCCACTTAATTATTACATCACCTCGAGGAACTAGCCTAATACACAGCTTTACACAATTTTAAACTATTATAAATTATTATAATTAAAATTTCTTAAAAAACGAAAAAATTCTTGTAAAACTTAATTATTCATCAGAAAAAATTTATTTCTTCAGATAATAATGTCCTTAATATTACTTATTTACAAAAGCAATTAACAGCTTTTCTAATTAAGTAATATCATAGTTTTATTGGATTCATTATTTTTCAATTCAGAGCAAATTTTCAGTTAGCTCAAATTTGAAAAAAAAGTAGGTTATTTATCATCTCCAAAGGCTCCTACTTTTAACAAAAAAAAAAAAATCACGAACCAGAAAGGTTTTGGGCGAAATTTCATGAAATTAAGTAAGTGTGTGTGAGTGGGGGGGGGGGAACATATTTTAAAATCAATATTTTTTATCAAAATTTTCTAAAAAAAAATATTTCAAAAATAATTTCACTCATTTGTGAATAAGTCCTGAAAATTTCATTAAAATCGGACAATTACTTGATTTTTACAAGAATTTCCAAATCAATATGTTTTCAACGGAAAAAAATCGCCAAAAAAATGATGACGTGATGACGTAAACAAAAGAAGACATTAACCAAAATTTCGAACCTGTTAGAAAATATTAAAAAAAATTAAAAAAATAATTAAAAAATACTTTGGTCTTTCTTCTTAATAATAACATAAGCATTTTGACGATAAAACTTTATTTTAGTTAAGTTTGTGTCATTTTTCATTACGCTATGCTGTTTTCCCGCGAAAACAGTGGAGGAGGCTAATTTACAGGGATTCCTCGACTTGCGTCGGAGATCCGTTCCTACGGTCCAACGTAACCTGATTTTCGACGTAAGTCGGAATGCACCTACATAAGCACCGACGAATCTGCCTTACGCTTGGGTGCCGTAAAGAATGGCAAAAAGTGCCTCTCCAAATAATACAAACGTGAGGTAGGGGACATAGAACAATCCAGTATGACGTGAATCCAGTGAAAAAAACAACGCCGTCTTCCTCATCTAGCGCCGCGTGATGACGTATTATATTATGAAAGATGGCGCTGTAACAACGAAACACCGTACATCGAGTCCGACGTAACCTGAGGACCTTCTGTATTTATATAGAAGGAAGTGTTGTGGAATTGCGTCCTAACCAATGATCTCAATCCATGAAATATACTCGTTGTTCTATATATTCACCCCGCAGTTCAACGCACTTGGTACATTGTTTCCGGCTTTTCTTAAGTCCTTCCAGGAAAAATTTTGATATTTAATTGTTCAAATACAGTAAAACCTCAAATTAACGGCCTCTGAACCAACGGACCCCGGATTTAACAGAGAAAATCCTCAGAAATAGTAATGCCCAGTTGGAACTCAAAATGCTCACGCCTAGCGAGTAAAGTCCGTTAGTTTCAAAATTGGTCGCTGTTTTTTGGGTTTTTTTTTTTTGTTTTCTATTTTTTTTTTTTTTTTTTAGCCGCAATCAACAGTCAGAGACTAGTAGATCCGGGAATAACCGCTGTTGTCTACTTGAATGTTAAATATATATATATATATATATATATATATATATATATATATATGTGTGTGTATGTATGTATGTATGTATGTATATATCCAAGTAAAAAGTTCTTCAAATGAATGGACAAACGGCTTTAACGGATGATCCCCTCTATTAGTCCGTTAAATTGAGGTTCCATTCCGCCGATTTTGTGAAATGGGTCGGACCTAGAGCTTTTCGGCACCCCCTCATAACAAAAGAGACTTAATTAACATGCGATCAGATTTGTTGACATGGGTAAAAATTAATGTGAGTGTGTGTGTGTGTGTGTGTGTGTGTGTGTGTGTGTACACGCGTCATCACGTGTTTGTGCTTGTGTGTGTTTCTGGGTGTGAGCCTTCGCGTGTGCCCGTATGTGTGTGAGAGCGCTCGTGCGTGTCTGTGTTTGTGACCGCTTGCGTGTGCTTGTGTGTGTGAGCGATTGCGTGTGTTTGTATGTATGTGAACACTCGCGTATGATTGTGTCCTTGTATGTATGTATTTGTGTGACAGCGATGCGCGTGTGCTTGTGTGTGTCTTTGTGTGAACGTTCGTATGTACCTGTGTCTGCGTTTGTCTGTGTGTGGAAGCGTTCACGCGTATCTGTGTGTGTGTGTAAGGGAGGGTATGTGCGTGTTTGTATCTTGTTGGAAACCTGAGAAAATCCTTTGAAACTTTTCTATTTCTTTTTTCCTACGGCTCCTGCTCTTTTTCTGGCTTCCGATGTTAAATGTCAAATTTATATCATCTCACGAGGCCCTCAATGCGATGGACAGTTATTTCGCAATATTTACATTTGGACAATTTTCCTCGTCTTTTTTGTTTTTATCACAACGTTTCGGTTGTTGTACCCTCGGCCTTCATCAGGTGTATATCAATACAGGTAACCTAAAGGGAATATCGAGCTGAACCCTTTATTTAATCTACGGACGGAGACTGTTCTTCCACTGACCATGCCTAGGGATATCTCATCTTTTTTTTAAAACATTTCGCCCCCAGCAAGACGGGAATCCCACTAGAACGCAAGAGGTTATAGAGAGTCAAATTAAAAGAAAAGAGGGGATATTGAGGAAAGGATAAAAAGAAGAATAGTGATCAAAATCAAGCCATCAGATGTCGATTGACATTACGTTTATATTTTTTGAAGATTATAGTTAACAGGTAAGCAAATAAGAGGAAGGGAGTTCCACTGCTGGGAAGTGCTAGAGAAGAAACCGTTGGAGTAGAAGAGGCGGTTACATTTAACTGTTTCGGCAGTAAAAGGATGGGACCGAAATTCCAACCCAGTAGTACACTTGAATTCATGCAGTCGGAGCACCAGCGAAAATAGTTTCTCAGAGCAGATGCCATGAAGACATTCGTAGAAAAGACAGAAAGAAGCCACATCACGTCCGTGAGGAAATGGCTGAAGTCGAGATGCTAGCTCAGGACATATCACATTGCTTATCTGTCTTTGGATTTTGTCGAAAACGTCGAGATGAACAGCAGGGGCACCAGACCATATATAGCAACAGTATTCAATGTATGGAAGAATGGTAGCTTTGTAGATGTGAAGGATGAACTCAGACGAGAAAAACCTTTTAGCGCGACACAGAGAACAAACTTTCCTTGCAGTAGATGCAGCTATTGATGCAATGTAGTTGTTACACCTCAGGTCAGTGGAAAATATGAACCAAGAAGGCGCAGTGAGACATTCTCGTGAAGTTGAGCATCAGCCGTGCTGATAGGAGGCAGAAAGGTTTCTCTATGGTGGGTAAATGAGAGCAGTTTCATTTTGGAGGTATTAAAATTTACAAGCCATATTCTGCCTCAGATTGGATGTCCTTTTTAAGACCAACGTCCAGGTTAACTAGCCGGATTGAGACAAGAGTAAATGGTAGTGTCGTCTGCGTAAAAGTCTACGTGAGAAGTGAAGACATCAGAAAGATCGTTGATAAAAATCAGAAACTGTGTCAATCTTATTTTTAGTACTATCCAGTTATTGCTCGCCCTGTTTCCACTAAGTGCACACTACCCGGCCCAGGGATTGAACCTACATTTACTATGTCAGAAAATTCACGAACCTAAACTTTAATCAACTCAATATGAGGAAAAATAATCGAGTGGGTTAAAGCATTGGTGAGCTCTAAAATAAATAACAAGTTATAGTCAACAATATCTTGTGTACTACACTCACAACAGCCCAGTTCTTGATAGTAACTGAAGCCGAAAATACTTTAATCAAAACAGGGCAAAACAATAGTTTTGGCTGATGCGTTCTTCGGTCTTCTTATAATGCATGTTGATATGCATAAGAAGATTGTTATATAAACATGGAGCGAGAGACAGAAACAGAGAGAGTGAGAAATGAGGAGAGAAAGATTAAAACCGATCGAGAGAAAAAAGGAAAGTTAGCGAGTGAAAGAAAAAGACATAAATAGAACCAGAGGAAAATGAAGAGAGAAACATAGGGACAAGAGAGGGTTACAAAAATTGAGAGAGAGAGAGAGAGATAAATATAACACAAAAACAGACAGGAAGAGAGAGAGAGACAAAATATGGGAGAAATAAAGAGAAACAAACAGAAATAGCTAGATAAAGGAAGTGGGAAAAGTGAAATTGAGAGAGGAATACAGAAACAACAGAGAGGGAGAGAGAGGGGAGAGAGAGAGAGAGCAAGAAAAAGATACTGGAAAAGAGAGACGAAACAGAGAGAGATGGAAAATCAGAAAATGGTTGAAAGTCAGAAAAAAGACAAAAAAAAACAGAAATATATCAAGAAAAAGAAAAAAAAACGACGTAGAAAAATCAGCCATATAGAGAAACAAAAAACAAAGATGGATAAATAGATATAGAGAGTGAGATGGGCAGAGAGAGGGAGAGAGAGAGAACCACATGCAAAAAAAGAGAGAAGGAGAAAGGAGACAAGCGGGCAAACATAAAGAATCAGAGAAAGAGAAAATTAGAAAAAGGCAGAAAGAGTTATTAAGGGGTGGAAACAGAACAAGAAAGAAAGAAAGAAAGAAAGAAAGAAAGAAAGAAAGAAAGAAAGAAATGAAACATTCACAGAGAGACGAGTGAGACTTATCATCGAATGATGCTTATCCGTAAGCTATTATTCCAAACTATATTCCTTGAATTTAACTTTGTAACACCGATTTACAACACACAATTTGGTCGGGCCCCGCGAATTATTTGAAGCGAGTATCCTCATCTTTATAGTTGTTATCACAATACGTCATCCGATTTGTATTTCCGCCTTTCTAAAGTATATCAGAGCATGAATCTCTGTGTGCGGAGCAGTTTCTCTGCGTCTATTGAATAAAATTTTGATGACATAAAGATTATCATGCAGTCAGCATAAGCCTCGTTGATTGGCTAATAATTCAGCCAGCACTATCCGGTCATAATGGCCTGGTGAAACAGAGATGATTATGGACGTTGAAATTTAAAACTTATTCGGAAGAGGGTTAATGGCATCTGCTTTAAAATGGTTTTATGTAGATTGCTATGAATGGCGCCCATTATTCCACTCGCACATGTCTAAAACTATTTTTTTTTAATTTCTTTTTATTCGTTCAGAAATCGGCTCCTTTTCGAATTTCTTTCCTTCTTTTTATCTTCATTATCAAGTTTTTTCTTCTTCTTTTTTTGTCCTTTATCTTCCTATACTGCTTTATTTCTTCCTTTTTTTTTTTTTTTTTTTTTTTTGTCCAAATTGTTTTACATTTGCTCTCATCCTCGTAATCAAATGGCATTCTGGGTAATTCTATTTTCTTTCATTATCTTTCTTCTTTCCATCTTCTATCTCTGCACCCTTGCATTTTTCTCTCATTTAATACACTTTCCTCCTCTCTGTTTAGATTCTGCTTTTTGTCCTTCAGTCTCTCACATTATTATTATTATTATTATTATTATTATTATTATTATTATTATTATTATTATTTTCTTTGATTTCTGGCGTTTACACATTTCTTCCCGGGTCCTGCCCAGGGACCTAAGGTTAGAAATGGCATCATGACACTTTCCACTGACAAAAAAAAAAAAATTACATAGATAAAGCCCTTCGTAAAGTGTGGGCTTTGTATCTCCTTGAGGCATGGACTTCCAGGAATCCCTTCAATTAGTCTACTGCAATATTTTCCAACCAGTCCTAGGGCTCGAACTACAACAGGGATTGTTGATGTTCCCATATGCCACATTTTCGAGATTTCTATTTCAAGGTCCTTGTATTTTGACAGCTTTTTGAATATCTTCAAATATACATTGCAGTCAGCAGGGACTGTCATATCAATAAGGAGGCACTTTTTTTTGTTTGTGGTCTTTAATAACAATATCTGGGCGGTTGGCCTTGATTGTTCTGTCAGTGTGTATTGTGTAGTCCCATAGAATTGTAACAGATCCTATCTCCGTAACCGGGTCTGGGTGGTGTTCATACCATCGTAACCGGGTGTGGGTGGTGTTCATACCATTTATTATTATTATTATTATTATTAAGTTAAGCAATACCGAACCTGGTCACTACCAAGATGAGTGACTGCTTGGGAATACCAGGTGTTGTAAGCTTGGATGTGCGGTTGGTGTAATCGATAATAATGGCTCGGAATTGTTAATCGCAGAGCCGAGTTTGTGTCCTTTATATTCACTTACGTGCAAATACCCTTGAAAAAGGTATGATTCCACTTCTTTCCCCACAGCTATGGGTTAATTAACAAGACTTGTATCACTAAAAGGTTTATTATCTAGATATCTACGAACAACATATCTATAAATTATACGTTTACGCTGATCGTTAATATAAAGTAGAAAGAGGGGTACTACCACCGAAGTTAAGCAACGCCAAGTTTGGTCAGTAATTAGAAGGGTGACCTACTGAGATTACCAAATGCTGATACATTTACATAATACTTTCTTGGGAACAGAAATGACGCTGGGGGTAAGGGCTTACGGCTACATCACGTTAAGCACTCTAGAGCCTGGTTAGTATCTAGATGGGTGACCGCTTGGGAATATCAGGTGCTGTAAGTATGGATGTGCGAGTGGTGTAATGTATAACGGCTTGGAATTGGAAATCAGAGAGTAGAGTTCTAGTCGGGTTTATTATATTCACATTCGCGCAAACGCCCTTGGTGAAATGTAGGAATCTATCTTTTCTTCTCCCCCCAGCTATGGGTTAATTAGTAGGACTTGTATCAGTAAATCTTTAAATTATGAAATAAATAAATAAAACAATTTCATACTATCTAAAACAATTCTGGTTTTAAATAGGAGTAGAGGTTTGCCACGTGGTTCCTATTTAGGAATGAGTTTCCTGGTTCCTTCTAAATTATTTTTTCAATTTCTTTTTCATTCTCTTTCATTCTCTTTCATTCCCAATAGTCCCTTGACTCGTAGTGGTATTTTCGGCTAGCTTGAGGTGAATTAATTTTTAAAAATAAATAATAATCTACAAAGGGTTGATAAACCGTAAAAAAACGATTAATCAATCAACCTTTTTAACAACTGGGGGCCATAGACTCATTAGTTCTGCGCCAAACCTGACTCTTATTATCAGTCCAGATTTTTTTGGGGGGTGGGGAGATAATAGTGCTTTACTGATACAAATCTTAAGAATTAGCTGTGAGGAGAAGCGGGTGGATTCATACTTTCCCAAGTATATTTGCGCGTAACTGAATATAACGAACGCTACTGGTGCCAGACAAAATTGTGTCTTGAAAATGGTTGTTAGAAATGTTAAATTCAGTGAATACATTTTGGAATAATAGCATGCGGATAAGAATCACTTGATGACAAGTCTCACTCGTCTCTCTGTCAAGGTCTCCCTCTATCTCTTTCTTTCTTTCTCGTTCTGTTTCCGTCCCTTACTAGCTCTTTCTGTCTCTTTCTAATTTTCTCTCTTTCTGCTTCTTAATGATTGCCCGCCTGTTTCCGTTCTCCTTCTCTCTCTTCATCTGCACATGTAGTTCTCTCTCTCTATCTATCTATCTGTTTTTTGTTTCTCTATATGGCTGCTTTTCCCACGCTGTTTTTTTTTTCTTCTATTTCTTTCTCTTTTACTGACTTTCAAACACTTTCTTTGTCTCCATCTCTCTGTAGCTGTTCCCCCCCTCTCTCTCTCTCTCTCTCTCTCTCTTGTTTCTGTATTTCTCTGGAATTGGAAGTCGGCTCTCCGATTATCAATTCCAAACCATTATCCAATACCTCACCCGCACATCCAAGCTTACTTGCATCTGGTATTCCCAAACAGTCACCCATCTATATACTGAACAGGATAGACGTTGCTTAACTTCAATGATCGCTGTTTCAACTTGAAATCGGCAGCGTAAACAGAAATGCCTTGTCAGCAATATATGGTGACACGGCAGTCAATATGTTAAGGCTATGAATCAAAAACAATATTTTAACATCTTTTAAAATTACTATCAGTTTAAATTATTGTGTTTCTCATTAAAGAATATTAAGTGACAGTATATTTGCCGCAATGGCACCTAAAGTTCTGCGACCTATATTCCTGCTCGTCTTCTGTAGAGTTATGAACAAAAGCTCCAGTAGTTTAAAAATCCATCGAAGCATTTGATGATCTTAAGAACATCCGTCTTCATTGCCTGTTGCATCGAATGAGGATAGAAATTAATATTAATAAAGATCGTCTCATAGGATTTTGTTTCAGCCATGTGTTTATTGTTGGCTCTGTCGTAAGTTTATTTTGGATACAAGATAAAAAGTGGAGAGAAAAAAATGACTGACGAGAAAGGACCGGCAAGAAAGTTCTCGATAAAGAGTGAGCAGGCGAACAAGACAAGAGAGGAAGAAAAAAAAAGTTTGTGAAAGTGCTTGGTAAACAGTTTTAATAATATCAATAAATAATATAAACCATTATATTACACTATTTACATTATTCGGATTATTGTCCTCATCTTTGTTGCAGTATTTATCACAACGTTTCGGCCGTTGTACTCTCTGGCCTTCTTCAGGGATTTGGAATGTCAAATTGAACCCTTTATTTCGCTAACTGGGGTAGACTATTCAAGTTCCACGTGCCATGTCTAATGGATGTCAGTTATCAGTTATCTCCTTTTACTTCACTTCTCCAAGTTCTCCACTGCCTAAACCAGGTATTGAACTCACAACTCTTTGGGTCCTGTCACTGGATCTAACCAACGCCTTTATCCACAGTGCCATGTGTCCTTAAGGACAATTTACAGGAGATAACTGATAACTGACATCCATTAGATATGACACGTAGAACTAGAACAATCTACCCCAGTGAGAGAAATAAAAGGTTCAGTTCGATATTCCAACCACCTGAAGAAGGCTGCAGCATACAACGGCCGAAACGTTGTGATAAATATGGCAACAAAGATGAGGACAATAATCCAAATAATGTAAATAGTGTACATAATGCCTCATCTCAGAAATATAGACAGATACCATTATATTAGTATGCATTGGTTTTAGTTGTAAGTACGTCTTTTTACGGATTGGAGATTTTAGCTAAACTCCCAACTGGTGTTGGATTCAGAGTTGCGCTTTCTCCTAGACTGGACGTTAATCAAAGCTAGAGAGTCTAGTATTGATTGCTGTTAATCTAGCTGTTCAAAAATGAACGCAAATGCCTTTCTATTTGACGCGCCCTTTTCCCGCTTATAAAAAACGACACTACGTAAAAGAGTGTAGAAGAAGAATGAAAAGACTGATAAAAAGAACAATTGCAAAATGGGGGAAATAGCGATATTGATTGAATTATTTTTGTTTTTTACGGCTTATCAACCCTTTGCAACCCGTTATATTCACTTACGCGCAAATATACTTGGCAAAGGTATGAATATCCACCCCTTCTCCCCACAACAATTGATTAATTCTTAAGATTTGTATCACTAAAGCATTATCGCTCCCCCACACCAAAAAAATCTTACAATCTAAAAATATTTTGTGATTTCTCCAACGAACTATTGGGATGGTGCATAATTATCAGGCGTTTTTGTAGGCGAGTCATTTGTTAATAAAAATTGCTGTTTTGTTTACATTTTTTTTAATAAAAAATACTAATCTATTTTCAGTTTATAAAAATGCGTGTCGATAACCATACGCTCCGGAATAATCATTTAAAAATGTTATTGTTGAATTGTTATGTTTCTTTTATCATAAAAAATATTCTTTAAAAAACGCCTGATAATTATGCACCAACCCAATAATTAGTAGGAATTATATCACTACACTATTATTATCTCCAAGAAAATATTCCAACAGTATAAAAATATTTTCTAGCTTTAAAAAACCTGCAACGGGTTGATAAGCACCTTTTGTGCGTTATTTAAAGCCGAAACATATTTTTGATTATAAGAATAATTCTTTCTTTTCTAAGTAAATATTAAATTAACAATTTTTTTTTTTGAGAATGACAATGATTTTTTTCCAGATACATTTAAAATTTTTCAGATACTATTTAACCCATGACTGGGGGGTGAGATGAATCCATACTTTTACCAAGAGTATTTGCGCGTAAGTAAATGTAACGAACTCAA